TCCCAGGTTTGTTTTGAGGATCAAATGGAATAGTGTTTGCAAAATGCACAGTCCGGGAACTGACATGCAGTGGGCACTAATAAATGCTTGTTTTCTTCCTTCTCCCCATTTTACAGATAAATCTACTTACACCTTCCTCTCTGACACATACCCTTCAATCCAGTCACTGGCCTCCTGACTGTTCCATCAATAAGAAACTCCATCTCTCAGCTCCAGACGTTCTCCAATCAACCATCCAGGTCATCTTTGGCTGAAAATTTGTTTCACTCTGTCTTTTTGTGGGTTCTGCTGCTAGGTATGTGGAGGGGTTTGGAGGAGAACTCAAGCAAGTCATTGCTTTTACTCCGCCATCTTGGCTACATTCCTCCAGACATTCTCTTTAGCTGTCCCTCATTCCTGCAATTGTCCCCCTCCATAACCCTGCCTCCCGGCTTCCCTGGTTTCCTTCAAGTACCAAATCAAATCTCATGTTCTACAGGAAGCCTTTCCCAACCCCTCTTAATCCCAGTGCCTTCTCTCTGTTAATTATTTCCTATTTATCCTGTTTATAGCTTGCTTGGTATATATTTGTCTACATGTTGTTTCCTCCATTAGATTGTAAGCTCCTTGAAAGAAAACACTATCTTTTGCCTCTTCGTATATCCCCAGTGCTTAGCACAGTGCCTGGCCCATAGAAGGCACCTATTGTTTATTGATTAAGTCTGAGATACTGAATTTGAAATTCAATTCAAAGAATGGACAGACAACCTGCTGATCTATGTTCTGACCCTACCAATGAGAGACTACTGCATTCCAGAGATAGGTCATGGCAGTGACCAAAGGCCATTGTCCATTACTGTCCAGAGAATGTCAATATGAGTGCAAATGGTCTGTCTGTTAGGTCCCATATGTCAGAATCTTTGGTAGTCCCCACTGAAATGGTGAAGGCAATGTATGACATCAGAAAGCAGGACCTCAAATCACCAAAAAATTGAGGCTTCAAATCTAGGACTTCAGAAAGTGTGCAAAGGTGTCAGTAAGTAATGTCACACTGGATTAATCCTCCTGGCCCTGAATGTCAGACATTGCTGACAAGCACAGCTACAGAGTAGAGGGGACATAAGAAATGACACAAGCAAGGTTCCCCCACCACCACCCAGAGAACACCCTAGAATAAAGGAACAGGCAGAGGTCGAAGCTATTTGTTGGAATGATGCCCAAGATTCTCATCAATAATAACAGCACATTTAGTTAGCACTTTTACTCCAATACCATTATTTTATAAGTGAGGAAACTGAGACCCAGAGAGGTTGTGATTTGTGAAGCTCATAGAGCTAGTGACAGAGGAAGGATCTGAATATAGGTTTTTTTATTCCCAAGCCAAGGTGTTTGCCATCCACCACACTCCCTCTCTAGCTGGTACATATTACAGACTCCCTAATCTGATCTGGACTGTTATCTGCCCTGGGGCCCAATCAGAAGATGGACAGTAAAGTGTTTCTGAGGATCACGATTCCTCCTTGTCCCCTATCCCCATCACCAGGAGACCAGGGACTGTCTCTTTTCCTCCCTCCCCACCAAAACTGAGGCCCCATGAGGACAGAGCAGTAATGAAGTAATGAAGAAGCACATTCAGCCTGGAATGTTCTCCCTTTTGACCTGTTTACCCTTGAGATTCAGATCTTTCTTTCCACTAACATGAGAGGGATGGGTACATTTGGCTGCCGATGGGTTAAGCTCTGAGGCTGACTTAGAGGTAAGCTGGCAGCAAATGACTAGGAATGGAAATGGCTCTCTAGACCTTGGCAGTCATGACAGCCACAGCCCAAGAAAGACTTTCTAGCAGCTATTAGGACCCAAGGGCAGGGGAAGATGCAGCAATCAGGCTAGGAGCTCCCAGCGTCCCAGTCAACTGCTGGGATGCACATTCCTATCGTCAGAGAGTAGGAAAGAAGACGGAGGAGCCAAACGAGGCTGGAATTAGAGCGAGCAATTTGATACCAAAGAGCCAAGTCCTAACTGAGCAGAGAGCCATAACAACAGCTGGCTGAGGGAAGGGGACCTCTTGGCACTCTCCCCCACCCCAGCCCACTCCCTTTTCTCGCTTGTTCTCACTATCCTGGAACAGGACCCAGAGCTGAGACCTGGATCCCAATATTAATTCCCTTATACCCTTTACATGGCATTTAATTTTTTTAATGATTTATAAATTTATTTACTTATAAACAATGTAATTTGATTTAATTGTTTTTATATCATCCGCATTTCTCACTATCTTCCTCTTCTCCCACCCCATCCCAGAGAGCCATTCCTTATTTAAAAAAAAAAAAAATTAAATGGGAGGTGGGGCAGCTCGGGGGAAGGTGGAACAGTTCAAAAAAAAAAGGACAAGAAACCAGCCAGATCAGATATTATATATGATGTTCTATTCCCATAGTCCCTCACCTCTGCAAAGAAGGAAAGGAGGTACCTTCTCATGTCTGTTCTTTGGGGCCAAGCTTGGTCACTGTAATTTCACAGCGTTTAGTTTCAAATGTTGTGTTATTGCTGGGTTGTTGTTGAGGTTTTTTGCCCCATTTACATTGTTATGCTTATAGTATATGCCACCCTCTGGGCTCCCTCTCCCAACTGGAACTCCCACTGGCAGTTTGGGATCCCCAGAGATGCAATAACTCCTGCTCTCTCTCAGAATTCTAGGCGTGACCCTGAGGGTTGTTGAGATTTCTAGTACTACTGTCCACAAGCCTCCACCAATGTGCTTCCCACAAATTATCAGCCAGGCTTAAATAGCTTACAGAAAGTGTTTATTAAGAGGGAATAGCAAGGACAGCTGTTACAGAAACAGCTCCCCCCTTCCAAAGTGTGGACAATCTCCCCTTGCACACACAAGGTCTCTGGGAAGAGTGGGCTCAAGTTTATAGTAAATGTAGTGAGGCACACAGTGTATATGTGTGTGTGTGTGTATGTGTGTGTATACAGATATAGTGTATACAACAGTGTGTGTGTACATACACACACACACACACACACACACACAAAGGTATTGAGGAAGAAGCTCCAAGAATGCTGTATAACAAAGGGGTAACTCAGCTCCTGGTTACTGAAAGTCCTTTTCTCTCTTTGTGGGGTCCTCATGAAATTCCCATTGAGTCTAGTTGTCTACAAGACTCTGAGGGCTGGCCTCCATGTAGATTTCTAAGCTATTTTTCCTCAGTATATCTAGTCTATCCTGTGTTTCTCAGATCCCAAGGCAGACACATCCATAGCCTGATTCTGGTCTCGTTGGACTCCATTATCAATGCCAATGGGACCTCCAGTTCTTCCAACTTTTCAAGGTTCACAAGGTCATAATGTAACCCTTTTGTTTTCTGAATACTCAGCTACTTTTCTCAGAAGAGACCTTCTGTTTGCCCTGGTTAAATCTCCCTCTACTTTTAACTGTATGTATTGTCTTCTATTTGTCCAGTATCTTCAGCCACATGGTCGAGGGCCTGGAACTGTCAGCTCCCAAATATGGAGTCTTCTTCTACTTGACTGACTTGCTCTAAACTAGCTTGCTTCTTAATATGTAGCCCAAGAAGAATGACTTGATCTTTTTCAACCAATTAAAATACATTTCCTATGTGGTACTATCCAATGACCCAACTTCCCTATGACATTTTCAATTAGTTAAAAACTTACTCGTACCTATTTTTTAATGATTCATTGATTCAATTCAGATGTCTAGCCCTTCTGTAATTAACTGGGATCGAAGGAAACCTCTGCTCTTATATGTATATTGTCTTTTCTGTTTCTGCTTACTTCATTTTCCATCAGTTCATGTTTTCCCATGTTCCTCTGTATTCATCATACTTATTATTTCTTGCAGCACAATAGTATTCATTATATCCATGTGTTTAGTCATTCCCAAATTGATAGACATCCACTTTGTTTCCAATTCTTTGCTATCACAGAAATTGCTTCTAAATATTTTGATGCATGTATTCTTATCATTGAATTATTTAGGCTATATATCTAGCAGTGGGATCTCTGGGCCAAAGGGTAGGGAGTTACTTCGAGTTACTTTATTTTCACATTTCTTTTCATAATTCCAAATTGCTTCCCAGAATGGTTGGATCAGTTTAGAGCTCCACCAAAAGCATATAAGTTTATGGGTGTTTCATTCCTGCTGGGCTGTTTGAAGCCTGTAGGATGATAGAGGTTAGACATTTACATAGAAAGAATTATTGACACATAACATCAAAAGAACCTTGAAGAAAACACAGGGTTGGCTCAGATTCTTAAGATCTGGTCCACTTGCACTAGCAATATAAATGCTTAGATTCCTTAAGAATCTGACTAATATGGCGGATTCTTTAAATCTCACCCACGCCCGATCGATGTTATAATAAACTTTGTCTTTGGCTGAAAAAAAAAAAAAAAGAAAGAAAGAAAGAAAACACAGGACTGGCATCTATAATTGTGTACCACCTGGTGGACAAAATTACAAATTACACTCTTGGGCTAATCAATAGTAAAGTGACAGAGGATCTATGTCTTCCTGTAAGGCAGTTATTCCAAAATTTTTTTTGTTCCCCAAATCCCTTTTAACAACAACAAAATATGCCTTGTGAACCTTCTGGATAATTTTATATACTACTTATAGTATTCTCTTAGATTAACCCATTAAGTGCTTGCAGTAATTAGTGATAACTTTTGCCTAAAAACGCTCATGATGGATTTGAATCGCTGTAGAAACAAATCTAATGCTTCAAACACATAGAGCTTGCTGTCACAGAGGAAAAAATATATTGATAATGTCACTGGGCAATTATTTACTACTTAAGGTGTTATTAAAGGATTTTTAGCATAAATCTCTCAGACCATTATTGAGGTGAATCACTAAATGGAGATCACTGCTGTAAACTTAGAGAAAGGAGAACAACAGTTAATCAGTCAGTCAATAAACATTTATTTAGCACCTACTATGTGCCAGGCACTATACTAAGCACTAAAGACACAAAGAAAAGTAAAAGACAGTTCACATCCTCTAGGAGCTCACAATCTAATAGGGAAGACAGCACCTAAAAAGAAAATGGGGGTGGGGCTAGGAGGGTAGATAGTGCAGAGGCATGATGACGTCCAAAGGAATGCTGCCAGGTGGGAAATGATGAAATGGCTGCCCAAGGCACCTTCCTTAAACAGAGGATCTGGAAGGAGATCTCCATTGTCCACCTGTCACCAAACAATATAAATTGCTGTTGCTACCACATGTAGCACCATAGATATGCATTAAGTAAACATGAAACCTGTTCCTCTACCACACATACAAGGGTAAAGTTCTTTTAAATGTATCTAAATACATTTATTAATCACTAATAATAATTAATAAAATGCATTTTTCATTAATTAATTAAAATAATCCAGACTGCATGGAGGTTAAGCTTACCAGCATTTTCTATTTTCCAGACTGAGAGCCTTCCCCATCACCATCTACCAATGCCTGGCTATGAGTTTCAGGAAACCTGAGGAAGTGAAAAAAACAGGACTCACTCTGTCAAAGGTCCTGAGCAGATCTTCAAGTCCCAAGGTACCAAAAGCAATAGACAGTTGTTACTTCTTAGGACTCCAAGATTCTTAACTGAGTGTTTGCTCCATTTACAGGGTTACCTTCTAGGTCTCTTCATTTCATACTCCTTCCATCTTCTGCGGCACAGAGAAACCTGGATATTCCTGGAAGAAACTGTACACCTGGCCATCCTTTCCAGTAAAGGATGCTTTTTCCCTTATGTTCCCTTCATTAGTCTAGTTCTGAAATATAATCAAAATCACCTCTGACCTACCTGTAAGTTTTATTGATAGTACTAAATACAAACCGTGAGTAGAGCACTTACTCATACCAAAAGGATACAAGAAGATATGTGTTTCTCCTTAGTTGCCACCATTGAGTCCCAGGCTAGACACAGCTGTGAGAGAGAAGATCAAAAACAGAACTCCAATCCAAGCAAATGACTCTATCCAGAGTACAGATGGATTCAGAGTATTCCAGGGGAGTCAGGATCTGTGACATTTTATTAAAAAGTGGACAAAGGAATATGGAGCCAATTGAAAATGCTACAGTCTAGGATAAACAGGTGTCATGTGCTTTTAAGTATTCCAATTAATAATAACAATAATAATAATAGCTAACATTTATATAGTGCTTACCATGTGCCTTTAAGTATTCCAATTAATAATAACAAAAATAATAATAGCTGACATTTATATAGTGCCTACCATGTGCCAGGCACTATGCTAAGCACTTTACAATTAGGTCAGATAAAGACAAACTAGGGGGTGTGCTCATGAATTCATCAGTCATTCAGGTGTCCAGGTGTCTACATATTTCCTCTTCTCTCTCTGGGGAAAGGGTCTAGTTTTCTCAGCTTGAAACACACTTCCCCACCTCCCCCTAAACCCCCACCAAACACTCAGACTCCCTGGGCCAGGGAGAGAAAACTGCATACTTTCTCTTCTCTGTCACTTCTAGATACTTCCTTTGCCATTACCACTTAGCAAACCCTCCCCTTAGGAAGTTCACTCCACCTATCTATTTATATCACCCAAGCTGTGGCTTTTTTGGTCTGTGTTTTCTTTCACACATGACTTACATGGAAATGTGTTTGTACGACTACACATGTATAATCTATGTCAAATTGCTTGCCTTCTCAATGAAGGG